GCGCAAATCAACGTTCTAGTTTAGTAAAAACTTGGTTTTTGGGATTTCCATTAACCGTCTAAACAATAGCACCCTTTTATGTAGGAAGTAACCCGGTAGATAGCATTGCTGAGAAAGACAAGGAGACTGGAGATGGTCATTTCTGGTTAATTAGCCGTCGTCAGCCAGTCATACCCAGCCCCGAAGTGGTGCACCACCCGAGGCTCGAACTCACGACCTCTTCTGATCAGAGTCTAACTCTCTAACCATTGAGCCACGAGCTCGTTGTCTTGCCGGCTTAGATCGAGAGATACTGACACTCATTGATTAACGTTTACCGACCCCCTAGCGGAACTCACTTGTCCCGCTCTGTCTTGGGACTCATTCCTCGGGCCCTGACAGCAGTCGCACAGCGGCTAGTAATCTAGGCAGATAGCATTGCCGGCAAAGAAAAGGGCGACTGGAATGACAATTTCTGGCCTACTAGCCGTCGTCAGCAACGAGTGTCAATCCATGCCGATCTAAACCAGCAGGGCAACGAGCTCGTGGCTCAACGGTTAAAGCACTAGACTTCTGATAAAAAGATCGCCAGTTCGAGCTGTCTCGGGTGGTGCACCACTCGCAATGCCAAACAGCTTTTCTGAATGCAATTTTTCATTTGATCTGTTATGCCTTTTCGCCGACTTTATGAAAAAAAAGTGTCTTTTTAATGAGTCTGTTTTTTTAGGAACTCGTAGCGCTTGGTGTATCCAACCTATTTGGCTCCTTCTTTCAGTGCGTTACAGCCTGTGGCGCTCTTGCTCGGAGTGCTGTTGTTGTGTCCGTGGGCATGGTTTCCCAGGTAACACATTTCCCCCCGTTCTGATTTTATGTTCTCTGGATATATAAAATTTCTCAAGCGTTTTGATCATTGGCGGCGGAGATTAAAGTGCTTTTGCTTGACCAGAATATTGGCGAGATTAAACCTTATTCAAAAGCCGACGGCATTTTTAGCATGTAGTGGAAAATATCGTGCCTGCAACATCATTATCAGTAGGCTCCTGCTTAATGGGCAAAAACTGGAACAGATAGAGGGGCCTAAGATAACATCTGTTTGGGATTTAATTTTAAGTCCCTTTAGTTAATCCTACCCTTGACGTCAACCTGTAATCAGAAACACACAGAACGCGCAGATGTCAACAAGTAAGGCTTAAATTATGAGCCACAGCAACGACAACCATCAAAATGTGAACAAAATATTTTTGGACATTTATTGGGATTAATTAGGTATTTATTCCTCCAATGAGCTAACAGCGAGTGCGTTTTAAGTGCCCAGCCAGACAAGAAGCATACAGAAACAAACCCCTCGAATATTTCTGATGTTCACATACGTCTTACATCCAGCTGTCTCGGATTGAATGTGGAGATTCAAAACGTCAGCAAACAAAATGCAGGCCCTTTAAATATTGCCAACCGCTCAGTGTTTCAAACTAGACATCCGCAGGCCCTCTGACGTCCTATGTGGAGGACATTCGCCGACAGTCTTTCTCTAAAGTTACAGCAAGTACCTAAACACGTTAGGACTAGAGTTGTGTTTCGTACAATAGATCGGTAAAGGAATCTTTAATTGATGATACTTGCACATAAATTCAGTGAGCACTTGAATCCGGGCTAGGGAGAACGCCGAAAAAGGTGTACCGTACAGTGAATAGTAAATAGCGCGGCTGCCAAGACCTAATAGACAAAGTACACGGGTGCTACCAAGACATCTTATGGAACGACATCCTATAGAGTAAAGTCACATCGCGAAAAGCGGTAGTGGCAGAACTACATTACCAACAAAGACGAGGGAGATTGGAAATGACCGTTTCCGCCGTTTTAGTCGTCCTA